GGGGGGGAGGGGGGCGATGCGCAAGCAGGCATGTCAGCCATCAGCCAGCCAGTGGGACGCGCGGGCGATCCCGAAGGCCGGGAAAAAAAAAAGCACGCACACTCAACCAGGCTGGTCCGACCGTTGGTGCTCAGCCGGCGGAACAGGGTCTCGGACAGACGGCCCCCGTCGGCCACCGGCACCGCGGCATTCAGGCCGATGATGTTGTTGATGCAGCCCAGCGGGGCCGTACACCGGACGATGCCGCTGCCGGCCCGGAGCCGGGGAAGGTAGATCGCCAGCGGAGGCGGCCGGCGAAAGCACGGGGGAGGGTGTCAGCTCGCGCACGGGGCACACGATACACAAACATACACACACACACACACACACACACACACACACACACGGGCGCTGGGTGATGCCGCGGGTACCTGGGGAAGACGCCGCGCACGCGCGCCAAATAGCCTTTCTCGATTTGGCCCTCCTGCATGTCGCGCTGCAGGAGCTTCGAAGTGGGCAGGGTCAGGCCGAGGACCAGCACGCCGGAGGTCAGCCGGTCCAGGCGATGCACGGCTGCATGGCGGGGTGGTCAGGAGGCGGGTGCGGCTCCGGGGCGAGGGAGGCGGGAGAGGGCGCAGATACCGACAAGGGGAGGCAAGCGCATGGAAAGAGGCATGTGTGGAGAAATAAAAGGGAGAGAGAGAGAGAAAGCGCGCGCGCGTGCAAGAAGGGGTCCAAACACGTACGGAAGAGCTCCGGCAGGCCGTACTCCCGGCGGAGGATGTAGACCAGGGTGTTGTGCCGGTACCGGCCGGCCGGGTGCACCGGGACACTTGCCGGCTTGTCGACGACGATGATGTCCGCGTCCTGGTGGAGGATGCGCAGGCTCCGCGGCCCGGGCAGGGCCACCGTCGAGTCCGATCGGCGGACCCGGTGGAGGATCTGGTTGCCATTGCGCAGGACATAATCCGGGCTGGTGGGCTTGCCATTGACGAGGATCATGCCGGCGGCCGCGGCGGCGGTCTGCGCTCCATATGGCATTGTCGGCGGGGGGCCATGCCGAGGCGGGGGGGGGGGGGGGGGGGGGGGGGGAGCGGCCGACGATGCCCCAACCACTGCCAGCGGCTCCTTC